TCTTTTGTATGTCATTTTCTAAATATTTACTATCAAGCCCTCTGAACATAGCGACTGGCCCATTAAAATATATATATATATATATATATATATATATACTGCTCAAAAAAATAAAGGGGGAACATTTCACTTTAATTTTGTGTGTGGCTCCAAATCCAGGCCTCCATTCGTTAATAAATTTGATTTCCAGTGATGATTTTTGTGTGATTTTGTTGTCAGCACATTCAACTTTGTACAGAACAAAGTATTCAATGAGAATATTTCATTCATTCAGATCTAGGATGTGTTATTTGAGTGTTCCCTTTATTTTTTTTTGAGCAGTGTATATATATATATATATATATATATATATATATATATATATATATATATATATATATAAACAACCATCAGTTCTATGTGTGGTGAGTTCAAAGCAAAGGGAGGAAGCAGAAAGTGTACACTGGTTTATATCTGCAGTATGTAGAAACATCATGTAGCAACTTTAAAACTGACAAAGCAATGCTGATAATGAGCTTTCTGGTATTGATTTGCAGGTCCGGCTGTCCCAGTTGGAGTGGATGTTCAGGTGGAGAGTTTGGACAGCATATCTGAAGTTGACATGGTATGCTGCTTGAATGTTTGAATGACTTGTAGTGCAACCAGTTTCACACTATCTGGTCAGTCAAGGGCAGGTGAAAATTTCACCTGCAGCAGATAATTACAAATAAGAAAAACAAGTCAGATTCAACATAACTGATGTTATTAGATGAGAAAGATTGGAAGTTTGAAACAAATGACCTCTGCTGCAACACAGGCACAGGATGCTGTTCAGATGCTGCAGCTAATGAGTCGGCGCAGGAATATTTTTCTAACAGCATGTAAACAAATGCTTGACTGCCAAACAAATTCTCTGCCACACTGTAAAAAAAGTCAGTAAATTTACGGTAACAAACGGTAAAAGACCAACAGTTTTTGACCGTAATATCCAAAAACATTTCATTACCGTAGAAATTACATGGAACTACCGTAAGTCGAAACTGTAAAGAAAGTCAGTAAATTTACGGTAAGAAATGGTAAAAGACCAACAGTTTTTGACCGTAATATCCAAAACATTTTGTTACCGTAGAAAATACATAGAATTACAGTAAGTCGACACTGGAAAAAAAATCCGTAAATCTATGGTAAAAAATGGTAAAATACCAACTGACTGTAATATCCAAAGCATTATACTACCGTAGAAAATACATGGAATTATCATAACTCAATAAACATATATCCTAAGTAATTTTGACAGTCATGAATGTAGAAAATACAGAAATATATTGTAAAAATATAAGTAATTGTAAAGTTCATAAAAAAATATTGTAATATTGCCAGCAGTTAATTACCCTAAACTTAACAGTACTAATCAGCCAAAATTACAAATTTTGCTGATATTTATATCTACAATGTAAAACCGTAAACAAGACTGCAAAAGTCATTTTTACAAAGAACAGAATGCTGGTGTGATATTTTGGTTTCTTTTTTAATAATGCCTTTAATACACCAAACTGAAATCTCAACAGTAGACCAGGCATCGATCTGGCAACCCACCGATTGCAAAGCAAACTCCTACAGCCAACGTCACCATCATTTATAAGAACATTTGATGAAATGATGCATTTGAGATTAATTCTATGCCGACCATAGATGTCTTATACATTAAGAGAACTGTATGTTAGCCCCTCTTGCTTGGATGAAGCTGAAGTTGGTTTCCAATTGCTGCTTCCAATTTGGGAAATGGCTAAAGTGCAATTCCACCTAATTTTTCACTACCATCAGCATCTTTAATTTACTCTAGCTAAAAAACTACAA